CTGAAGTTTTCCGATTGATAAGCGTTATAACAATCACAGTTATGGCTTCCGAAGCTTTTAGCACACTGACTATAGCAAACTAATAATACTGTTGCGTCAGCAAGGTCACGTGACTAGTGTCACGCCACGTTTCTAGAAATATTCCGTTCCTTCGTGAATGCCCTAGCATTTACTAGATATAGGGTAGTCTGATATATATATAAGAGGGTGACGGCGTGACGTGACAATGTGTGTGTGTGTTGGTAGTGAGTAATTGATTTGCAGTCAGAGAGTATTGTTGAAGTTCGTTATAGCGTTTGTTTTAGCGCGAATGTTGAAATCAAGTGTATCGTAAAGTTATATTCAGAAAGAATAAACCAGTTTTATTAAGTAAGGACTTGTGTCGCTAAAGTTTCGTCGGAACGAAGTTACGGAAAGGTAATTAACAAACGGAGATGTAACAATACTAATAGATACTCTCTTTTGGCGCGTCGCATTGGTTATATTTATAGGCGTGTGGAGAGTTTCTCGAAATTTCAGTTTTACGTAACAATACTGACGCTAACACAAACGTTTACGTGCACACACATTTTGTTGATTCTTACTCTCGAGAATCTTCTACAACTTTGGAGAATAGGAGGGAGTTTTGCAATACATATTTAACACTATAAGCTATGTATATTTCTAAATATAAATTTAATCTAAACAAACGTCGATATTAACATAAATATATAATAACAGATCCGTCACAATTTAATGTATGTGTATGTGTGTTGATATGGTTTATATGTATATATATATTCATGGATATGTTTAACGTATAATAGGGAACATATTTAAATACCTGAGCACAGCTGGAACTTTATGTTGATGTTGTTTACAATTTGTTTCACGCCTTTACGCATTTTTGACTGGTTTTCCTATGTTTTGCGTATTTTTGTAGTGAACTGTTTGGATCTTTTACTTGTTTTAAACATGTTTTTAACACAAAAAGCACCATAGTGAAGCAAGCTCAGTTGGTATCTCCACAAGTTTACTCCAGTGTCTGCCACCAGAAGAAATTACAGTAATGGTACTACCAACTCGCACCAACTCTATTATATGCACATTTACTTACACGACCCATAGGAGATCGAAATAGCGTTTATAATCATACGTAGATAATGTTTTTTTAATGGAAGCCAAAGTGATTTAAATATCTTTCATGTCTTCATATAAGAGACGCTATCAAGCTTAATTTATTTCATTCAACGTTCTAAAAGCACTTTTATAGGAGGATATCATGTTATTTTCAACATTAATAAAAGATAACTAACATTTATTTGTTAATAGTACTCCATTCAATATAACCTGCATATTTTTACGCATATATTTCTATATACAGGATTTCATGGTAGAGGAGGCTATCTCACTGTATCCAGTCCACCTCATGTCATGCCTTTAGCACATGCTTTTATTGAAGCTGGAAGGACCTTTGGCTACCCTAACATTGACCTTAATGGACCTCGACAATCTGGTGAGTTGTAGGAACAACTTCTAAATGGTTAGTATGGAGTATGTTTAGGCTTAGGTTCATTCACTAGGAGTTAATTCGTACGTAGCTTTAGAGTGAAAATACAAACAGTTAGAAATTTTTGGTCAAATAACATCTATTTTTATACATTGTTTGAAGGGAGGATGCGTGTGTGTTTCTAATGTTTTTGGTAGATATAACACATATATTGTGATTGTAAAACTATTTACAACTTTGATATTATTTAAGTCAATTACTTCATTCATCTAATAGAACATTTTTTTCCGTCGTTGTTGGTTTTAGTCGATAACACAAAATGGTGAAAATATATTTATAAGCGCTATAACATTTCAAGACATCAGTTTTATAACAAGAATTACTTTTTGATCAGGCTCTTCTAGCATCAAGTACAACGTTCTGACTAAAACACTGTTCTAATGGTATGAATCTCTCAATCTTCAATTCGTGTGTTTTAATGTTCAAATGTTAGTGTGTTAAAGTTAAAAGTATAAAGCTTGGCGCAAATGTATTATATTTATTGTTTTTCCAAGACATTTTACTGTCAGATTTTTTAAAGGCCCAGGGTTCTTTACAGTAGGTGTCTGTGACTCGTTGGCGACAAATTTCAACAATAAACGGACAGCACACAATCCATTTGTTTTAAATAATATATTCGAAACAAGTCAAATGTATATAAAAAAATCGTTACACTACTGGTTATCACAGTTGTATCCAGAGCTTTAAATAATTGTCTATTTTTCGTCAAAGTCCGCACAGGCGGGTTCATTTACTTTAGAACACCCTTTGACAAGACAAAATATTCTTCTCTATCTCTGTTATTACAATACAAGCTATGATACTTTCACTTCAGAACTCGCCACTACACGTTATTTATGGCTAAATTCACAATCACGCAGTTTAACTTCACTTTTCTTTCTCTCTACTATACTTACTTTTTTACTTTAACTTGGTAGCCTACGTATATATATATATATATATATATATATATATTGCCTGACAAATGCCTTGAACTTTCTACAAACTACAAGAGTTATGATGTAACATTACTTATTTAAGACAAAGAGAAAAATTCAGAGGTTCAAGTTACATGGCGTCAATTGAGCTATTCAACAAATGATTCGAGAACAGTTACGTAAGCAAACCTACGATTAATTATCGCTTCTAAAAATACTAAATTTAACACTCGCGCTTATAACCATTTAAATCATAACGCTCGTATTAAGTTCAAATAAAACAGTCGTGTATATCTAACATTTATGATGTCAGAAAAAGTGAAGCTCATAGGAATCTAACACATAACCAAGCGGCAGTATTTTCTACGAAGTTAACCTGCTACATTGGTCTGTAATATTCTTTAAATGTACATGCGAATACGTATTTATTATCTTACAAAACCATTGGGTGGTAAGCTGCGTTACGAAGAAAAAGATGATACAACTAGTTATTATATCATTCATTCGTATATTTTTCTGTCCCTTAATCTAAATACATTTGTACAAAGATATTACAAATTTTCAACTGTGGTCCTGCAGGATTCGCCATCCCACAGGGAACAATCCGAAGAGGAGCACGATGCAGCACGGCAAAGGCGTACCTGAGACCAGCAAGTGGAAGACCTAACCTCGATATTGTTATATTTGCTTTCGTCACTAAAGTAAGAAATATTCCTAAGGTTTAGAGTTAAGTTCAGTCCGAAATAAATCTGTAAAATATCGCTTTAATTCAGCGTTTTTGATTGATAATATACCATCAATAAAATCTAAATTTACCTTACTGAATGAGTAAGATTTCATATACATAATGACATAGAAACATCTATTTTGAAGGCAGTTACATATAATCTGTATAGTCAGTAGAGTCACAGGTTAGAATTGTTTCATATTTTTTAAAGGTTA